TTTGGAGAAAGGGCACCCCGGGGTGACGTGCTGGGACGGCTGCAATTCCCTCCGGAAAAGTTTGGCGAGCACCAGACCGGCCGGGGCAGCAGCACGGCGACATTCTCACGAGCGCTCTCAGTAAGCTAGAAACGTCAAAACCCAACCGGGAAGCACGGCGGCGTCCGACTCAGGGTTCACTCGCTCTCGATGAGCCACGGCGACCCTCCTGCCGGGTTCAGGCTTGGCGACGAGTCTTCCCACTGAGGTCGTCGGTTCGGATCCGGTCTACGGCTGACAGCGCCCTTCACGTTCTCCGACAACGTCTAACCATAACGGACGCATTCCACGGGGGGCCAGAGAACCAGCTGCCTCAGACCGCTGTGTTCACACGAAGGAAAACTGTAGTCCGGTGCCAGCGACGCAGAGACGGGGGACAGAACAAAGAGCGAGGGACAGCTGCAAAGGGTTAAACTTCAGAAACCCAGAACCAGAGCCCTTTCCACGAGATGTGGTCAGAAATCGTGATAAGGCTACCTTGGAAACAAGGCACATTCCAAAGCAAGCAAACAAAACCGTGGTAAGGTCGGCGGTCCCTGCCCTGTCCCTAAAACGTTCTGGGTCACAGACCACGGCTCTTTGGGTGGTTCTGCGGGTCCCCTCTGCCCAACACCAGCTCCCCTGCTGCTTACCTTTTCCCATGGGGACCAGGGCAGTCCCACGAGGGGTAGGTGTGAAACGGCTGCCCTGGCTGGAAGCTACCGGGTTTTCCAAGTGTCCTTTTGCTTCCGGGATGTGGAGCGCAGCCTCCGCCGGCGTAACCGGAGCCGTCCCGGAAGGGCTCGCGCTTCCGACGCCGCTCTCTGGGGAGGCCGTCCGCTGAGATCAGTCAGCAGCGGCCTTGGAGAAAAAGTCGCCCCTCATGCTTCCCATCCATGGGGGCGCTGAGCCGGACAGAGCAGGTGCAGGGCCTGGTCTGCACCGCCTGCACTGCCAAGGGGCCAGGTCCCCCCATCCACGGCAGGGAGCCATCACCGAGAGCCGCCATGGGGCCAGCGGGGGCCAGCCTGCCACACCCCAACCCCAGGCCACCATCAGCAGCGGGTGCTGGGGAAGGGCTGGGGCGCGGCTGCCGAGGGGCCTACACGGAGCGGGTGCCGGCCAGGAGCACAGGCCGAAGTGGCCCCGGAGGCACCCACGGGACTCGGGCTCCGGTCGGGAGCCAGCCTTTCCCCGACACTGAGGCTTCTTCCCTGGGGCCTCCATTCAGGGCCCAGATTCTCCAGGCTGGGACCCCCCCCCCCCCAGCAGAGGACTTCCCGGAACACGGTCTCAGACGGAACCGCCCATACTTTTCCAACCTTCTCTCCGGGCCACGTCCGTCCCCCCGCGTCACCGCTCAGGTTCCCTGAGGCAAGACCTTCTCTTCACGCCCGCCACTGCCAGCGGTCCCCGCACAGACTGGAGCCGGGTGCAGAGCGGGGCGAGCCCTCCCCAGGTCAAGCACTCTGCGCCTCAGGACTCTGCCCCGGACCCCGCGCGGGACAGAGGGAAGCTTCGGTCTCCTCCCAGCAGCGCCTTCCCGAGCTCGGACCACCAGAAGCACGTCCCCGAGGGATTCACCAGGGAGGGATCCGAGCCACGATCCCAGCCACGGCCGGACGCAGACAGGCCCCGCGCTGGAACGTTGGGTGAGGGAGGGCGGGAGAGACACGGGTGTGAGGAGGGGGAGACCCGTGGAGCGCCGGCGTCGCACAGGCTGCAGGACAGCCCGGAGGCACCCGCGGCTCCACGCAGCCCAACTCCTCCGTGCCCCGCGCGCCGGCGAGAACAGCCGCCTACGGCCCAGGCCGCGAGCCGGGGCGCTTCCGTTGCGCCTGCGAAACCCGGCGCCCGGGAGCAGAGCGAAGCCGCAGGCGGACGCCGCTCGGTGCAGGAGGCTCGGGGGGACGCAGCAAGCGGGAGCGGCGGAGCCACCCGAGACTCGGCGCCGCGCCCCGCCTGCAGTCCCTCACGCCGAAGGAGGCCATCGGACCAGGGTCCACGAGCCAAAGCAGCCGCGGCCCCGTAAGGAAAGGCCGCGAACGCAGCGTGAAGACGAGGAGCGCACGGACGGCGACCCCCGCTCCGCCGGCGGCACCAGCCGCGCCTCCGCGCTCTGCGACCTCCACGGGGACACAGCCTGACGCGCGCACACTCCTCCGGCGCGCGCCGGCTCCACGCGTGGACGCAGAATCCAGCCGACTGCCCTCGCAGTGCCACGGCGGCCGTGCTCCCGGCTGAGGACGCTCCCTCCGCAGCGCGGGTCCCTCACGAGCCCCTGGCACGCACGCGGGGACACCAAGCGCAGCGGAGTCTTCACGTCGGAAACACCAGGCCCATGCGGGACACGCAGCGTGGCGGGGGGTGCGGTCGCGCAGGCCGCCAGGCAGGCGCACGGAGCCCGGCTCTCGCCCAGCGCAGCGCGCAAACGCCGTCCGCGGAGCCTCTGCGCTCCCAGAACGCGCCACAGGGTCTCGTGCGGAGAAGCGCGGCGGGAGACAGGGCCCGCGCGGGCGGCCCGGAGCGTGTGTCCCCGCACCCACGTCCCCCGGGACCCCCGGAGTCGAGCGCAGCTCCCGGGAGCACTTTCCTCTCCAGACCCGGCCTCGCTTCGGCGCCCACCGGAACGCGGCTTCTTCGCACACTTCCCAGACTCCGACCGGGTCCTCCCGGTCCCGAACTTCACCACGACAGCGCGAACGGGCGAACGTTATTCGCGTGCGGAACGGCACGAGCTGCTCTGCTTGGACGCACCCGCTTCACTAAGTCTGAACTGGGTTTTTTAAAGATTTCATTGATTTATCCGAAAGCGAGCGGGCCCGGAGCGGCGGCGGCAGCGGGAGAAGCCGGCTCCCCGCGGAGCAAGGCCCGGCGACGCGCGGCGGATCTCAGGAGTTGGCTCAGGTCGGCAGACGCTGACCCCTCGGGGCCGCGCGCGCCCTGAAGCGGCTTCGCAGAAGCGGTGCGCGGGATCTCGTTAGAGCGAACTCCGGAACAACTTCCCGTTTTCTCGGCGGAGACGTGCGGCCAGAGGGGCCCCGGGGCCGGCCCGGCAGACTCGCGCGCAGAGCGGGGGCGCGCGCGGGGGGTCACCCTACGCCGGGAAAGCGCAGGGGCCGCAGGGGCCTGGCGCTCTCCAGCAATGGGGGGGGGGGG